ATAATTTGAAATAGGAAAAAAGGTCCAAAGGGGTAGAGGTGGTGGGAGGGGAAGGAGAAAGGAAAGAAGGGAAAGGAAAAATTATGAGAAAAGAAAAAAATGGCAATGAAGTCTATGTAAATAAGGAAGGGTGGAGGGGATGAAGGGCACCCAGGTAATGGGGAAAAAAAAAAAAGACTTGAGGTCCAGAATCTTGTCATCTAAATCAGCTCCAGGTATGGTTCCTTGGTTTCAGAGACCCATGAATTATAAAAACAAATTACCTTCCTCCTCCTCCTCTTCTCCTCCCCTTTTCTGAGCAATCCTGTGCAAAAGTCACTAGGTAGGGCTGCACAAGGCAGAGTGTAAATGGCATGACTAGGCTGTCAAAGCCCAACCAGCCAGAGAAGGGGTTCAGGGAGGACAGCAGCCTGGCCTAGAATGTCATTGCCCAAGCAAAGCAAAAGGGGCATCCATGGAGGATTAGGACCTGAGCATGGTAGCAGGGATCTGTGAAGTAGGACAGTCCAGATAGGATTTGGAGCTCAAGTGGGGTAAGGAGATTGTTAAAGACAGGGAGACTGATGAAAGGGGAACTATAACTGTCAGGGAAAGTTACTAATACAGATGGGGAGAACACTAAAAAATGAAATCTTTGGCATGCTGTTTAAATTTGAGAAATTGATGGTTTTTAATTTAGAGATAGATAATGGAATTAATATAGATCTGAGAAAGAGAGCATTTGTCTGGAAGCAGAAAATTCCCAGGGCAATGAGCATATTTAACACTCAAATCTTGGCTTCTAAACATCATTCTTCAATAAAAGAACCTAGGTATTCTTGGGGAGAAAGTTGCTTCCAGAGATGTTACAAGATGAGACTAAAATCTGCCAGAAAGTCAGGAAGAACTCAAGGGAAGATGAGAATATGTTGAAAAGACACAGAAATCAATTTGAAGGTCAAATATAAGACAATTTGAGTGTAAAGTAAATATGTATAGAAAGTTTCTGACAAATTGAACAAAATAGGAAATCATGAATCTATAGTGAAATAAATAAATAAATGGAAGTTTGATGAATAAAGGGACATTTAAATAACTTAAAAGTACCATTTTATGAAATACTAATAATTTTGATG